TTATTATATATTGTGTTTTTGTCCATCTTGGAACCATATCCTAAACCTATACGTTAGACTGTTTCATTATGAATCAGGTTTGGCCTTAAAGGCAGTAATGATGATGTGACTAGTTGAACCAGTGCTTCGGACAAAGCTTGCATTCCAACTCTGATTACACCCTGGTAAAGTTGAAATGTACCCGTTATAGTAAAATTTAAGGTTAGGTTTATAATGTCCCCAATATAGTTAGGATAAGGTTCAGGGTGGTGTTTAAGTTAGGAAGATATTGCACTAAGCTTGGTGCCGTGCCCTCTGTAAATACTCTGTATTTAAATGGAAGCGTCGCTCTGCCCCTTTCATACAAGGGATTATTGCCCGGGGCATAGGGCGGAACCTACCGTTGGTAATTCCATAGACCTCATCGATGAGGCCTTCGTATGTGAGCTGTGTGGCCAGAGGGGTGAGCAGGTCTACGTTACGGTCCAGCAGCAGCAGAGAGTCAAACACGGGCAGGATCTGGGTCTGACTGCCCGCAAACTCCCGTTTCATCCGTAGCATCATGTTAGCCACATGCTAATCGGGGAACAAAACAGATTAGGGCTCAATTTCAACCAAATGCACTTTTATTATGACAGTCCGGAAATGTGAACTGTATATTCGTTTGCTAGCGCTCACCCGTGCACACTCCCCTTTCCCAAATATCTGGGGGATGGTTCCGTACAGAGCCTGAAGAGTCATTAGGCCCTTGGCAGTGTGGTACAGACTGGTCTGGTCATTCTCCAGATAGCACTCCTAAAGACAGGTTATGGGTTATTACTTGCCTGCCACTCAATGGTCCTACATGCCACAAGGCCAAAACCGCGGTCACCAGACGGCAGTGTACAGATAATTTTTCTGATTAAAAGTGTATTTCCACTTAGAAATATTTGTTTTTTTTCTTGAGCAGTCAAATGTTTTGGCACCACAGTTGTCAAGAGTTTTTTCAAATATTCATTACATGCCATGACTTCATCACATTTATGATGATGGAAATGTATTAGACACGGTCACAGATACTATACACCTGTCAGACCCCATGACAAGTGACACTGCCCTCTAGTGGTGAGAAGTAGAGGTCTTAATCAGACCTAAAAGTATCTCGGCGCTAAATGGCCCACTTGAAAAAATTCTCCTCAATTAATTTTTTTCGAGCAGCATTTAATTCGGCATAGCCAGATACATAGCATGAAAAACATCACGCGTTTGTAGCTTCTAGTCTTAGTTGATGGTTGATCGCCCATCGCATCCAGTCCTGACCTACCCTGAAGGCTCCTTCCGACTCCATGGACAGCAGGTCACCATCATACGGGATGAGGTCTAGAATGTACTCATCGATGTTGATGAAGGAACCCAGGACCCCCTGCTCCTTCAGCCGCTGCTCACAGAGCATGCTCCTCCGCGGCACGAACAGGATGTGGAAGTCACGCGGGGAGTGCATCTTATCCTCACTGCCGTAACACAAATTCACAACACAAGAGTTTCTCAGGTTGCCAACCCCCCATGGCGAGTGTAGTGTAATTGCAAAACCAAAATGTGTTTACAGCAGCCAAGGCAATGGCATACCAACCTGATGACATTGTCAGCAATAATATCCATCAGCTCCAGCTTGGGACGAACAAAGAAGATGATATTTTTCACGTCAGCAGGGGGGAGTCGCCCCCCTTTGAGTGTGAACATCTTCTCCACTTCATGCTCCTGGGAGATTTGAAGAAGATGCAAGTTTAGGATCCGTTTAGCGTTTGCCCCTTGCCCTAATTAAGGTTTTCTAAAGCCAACATCTCTTCTGTCTTTCCAAGCGTGCCTATAAATAAAAGTGTTGGTACACCCAAGTACACACGGTTTGTCTTACCTTCAGCAAGGAATACTGTGCTATCAATCCGAAAGGTCCGGTCAAATGTTCGTCCCACACGATAGCCTAAACAGTCAACAACATATTTAGACACACACTACTTGAGTAAGACTCGAAAGAGACTGTTTGAGTAGACCCGATGGGCAAAAGATCATCCTCTGATGCGCACCATACATATCTATTTACCCTTAATTGTATTTTATATTATCAAGTCAGTAACTTTCTTTCAATATATACGTTTTCATGAAAGAGAATCTAATATGTTCACGTATGAGCTAATGGAGATACAAAAAACTCAGATCAGTAGAGTATTTACAATAAACCAAACCCGGGCCCGAGACAACCATTGACTGGCAGGTGGCAACCCCCTTTAGGTTAAACCCAGAAATAAGCGTTGTCATTTGTGATTACTGATTTTTTTATCATAGGTACAGAAGACCTCGAGAAATTGGACATGATCTCTTACAAAGCACAGGACTCCTATCTTCTCAAAAAGACAGTTGTAAACATTGCCAATACTACTGTTAGTTTCAATACACTCTTAACATGTGAAATGTCCATGATAGCAGCCATAATATCTATGCAAATAGCCCATCATTATCCATATTGATATGGCCTATTGTCAGAAACAGACTGCTCTGCTGTCAACCTATCGTTGAATAGGTTAAAAGGTCAGAGGTCAAACCTCATAGCTTGAGTACCCACAGTTTCCACCACTCTTAATTCCGATTTAAATGGTAAGACAAGTGAACCTTTTCTACTAGCAACCACTTTTTCAATACTACAATATATGACAGTCCAGAAGAACCCCAGTGACTGACTGGAAGTGGATGGATTGCCTTTATCTAGCTAACGATGACCCGACAGTTCAGACAAAAACAAAATAATTCATAATTCAGAAACAATTTCATTCGGGCGTTTACCTTGCTCCCTGCACATTTGTCCAAAAACTCACGGAGATCCTTCCGTGCAGCTTCCCTTAAAATGTTTAAATTGACTCTACCATAAGATAAGTGCGCAGACATGTTCGCACTGACAGTGGGGGAGTCATGTGACTGACTGCGAGATCATGTGACTCATAGTGCTCTTATTTGAGCTGCTATAAACAATCTGTCCAGTAGATGGCGATATACCCTGCTATAATAGGCTGCCTATTGCAACTCGGGTATGCATTTAGAGATATTTGGGCTATTCAGAAACACTATCAGGTATGTATTTTCGCCAAGGAGTTGTACACACGCATTTTAAAACGTACACAAAACAGAGCAAACAAACCAGTCCTGTTTGGCATATGCACTGGGTAAATATAGAATGTGTAAAGACCGACAGAGTAGTTCATCACTATTTTGATTATATCTATGGTACAATGTTTTATTATTACGGTATCGAGCCTTTATTTTGGTAACCACGAAAACCGGAAGCAGGAGAACGGAAATGTGTTTGAAGAGCGACGAAAGTGAGGAAAGGTGTCTGAAAGTATTCGCGCTAAAAAATAGTTAAAAGCAACGGAAAAACATTAAAAGTACAAGGTTTAGCTTCGGTCATTTGGGGAACAAGGTTTGTAGAGTCAAAGAGAAATATTTTTGAGTTACTTAAATTGTTTATCGTAGAATGTAGAAATTGATAATGTTAACGGACGAAAGTTATTGTAAGATGCTGTTTTGCCCAGCTCTTACGTTGGTTATAGATACGGACGGAAATAAAGATCACTTAACCATCAGTTCTGGCCTTCTCAATATTGACTGGACGCTACAGAATGTATATGTGTCTAAATAGTGCAAGGGAGCAATGTCTAGATGTGTAAGCAGATTGCAGAAAAAGAAAGAGAAATGTCCAGACTCGAGTATCAAATTGTGCGAAAGAGCAATATCTAGTTATTTATATATATAGTTGTGCAAAAGAAGAGCAAGATGCAGTTATTCAAAATGTAATAAAATAATGACAAAAATGTGTGTGTGTGTGTGTTGAATGTGTCAGGTATTTTACATTTTTTTATTGAAAGCGTTTATCCTACTTTATTTGGTGTATTGCAACCTGACAATTCATTTGTGACTTTTAAGAAGAATTTCAAACCCAAGGAACCAACACACCCAAATATCCAGGGCAGAACAACCAGATGAGAGACAACTTCAACACTGCAGGGGTCTCCTTCCCCGCGTACCAAGGGCTTATTACGGATGACAGGGACCCACGCACCGCCCATTGAGTGTGCATGGGCATCGGCTCCCATAGAGTGTGCTTGGGCATCGGCTCCTATCGGTGTGATTGGGAAGAGCCCATTTGGCGAACCCTTTCTTTGCGTGCACCAGTGCCGTAACTACCATTGAGGACACCGATGTCATGTCCTCGGTATTTTTTTTCTGTGATATATATTATTTGAGTAATTTCATTGTGAATGGAAAATAGCCGACGAGTCGAGAAGTTACGGATCGTCGTCACGGACACGTAGCCTACTTGTCTTGTCAGTCAAAACAGAAATTGTTGGCTGTAGTCGTTGTCTTCAGGACTTAACTCGTCTAATATATATTTTTACACATAGGCGTAATCCTATGGGGGGGCAGGGGGACACGACAATTGGTCCACCCCATATTGATCATATGCTACTGTATGATTATGCGGGCAATATCGATGTGACTGCTAAAACATAACGTCTTTCTTTTCAGCACCGAAAATATAAAATCCCGGTCGGTCCATTTCACAAATCCATTTGACTTGCCTTACACATTAACAAAAGTTATTTCTCCTGAAATCCATGTCATGTTTTCCCTATACCTTTGTACTCTTGTGAGCGCGGAATGAGACAGACATGGCCCATGGATGATATTCAGTAGTTGGTGAACATAATCCCTTAGATAACGACTAGGTGCATTTCACTAGAATTTCGAATTGTAGAATTAGTGCGAACTTCGATTGCAATACTATACAGCTTTAATGAATGGGACTTTAAAAAAGCCAGCTGATTCTACCCAGGGACCGGCTGGGACTAAAAAAGTAAAAGCACAACATATTTCTTAATATTAGCTACTGCATGTGGAATTTTAGAGCTAAAATGTTGAAGTTTGGCTGTTTTAAATACATCATACACATGGTCAACATTGGAATTCAGAAAATAAAATCCAAAGACATGATTCATCTGGTAGGGGATTCGAACCCACGTAGCCCTGTTTGACAGCCGAGCGCACTAACCACAACTCCAACAGATTAACGGGGGAAATAATAAGTGATGACTGTGTGTGATGGAGTAACAGATCACACAGATGGCCAGTCCGCCCTGCTACTACCTATATTACAGGTAGGTTAGCAGCATTTCGCAAACATTCAAACTCAGACTTTTATTTTCTTTTGATTAAAAAAAGGGGGGGGGGGTATTTTTGACCTCGGTATTTGAAAAATCCTGGTTACGGCACTGGCGTGCACTTGCATGCGTAATGAATGGCTTGCGGTCGATTCCAACTAGGCTGCAGTACACATTTGGACCGCAGAATCAGCATCATTCCGTGACATCTACATCCGAGTGAGGGCTGGATTCTCAGGTAGGCTGGACACGGCTTTATACCGGGTTTCATCTATTGTTTGTAGGCTGCGTATTGCTGTTCATGTGGGTGTGGGGGTTAAATACAGATGTATTTAATGATTAATGAAACAAGACTGAACAAATGGCATATTACAGGAGGACAGGCTGGTGCTCAGTCACAGCCTCTCCATCACATATGATGATGATCAGTTCATCTGAATGATCCCACTGAGCATTTATTAGAATTTTGGAAAAATATGAAACGTTATTACCAAAACGGATGTGACAGCCAATGCGATTTTATCTTTGTATTATGAGTCAAAATATATATATTTTTAAACGCGAACAAGTGAATAGATCTTTTTTCGTTTTTGCTATAAAGCTGTAAATATACTTGTAACCAGTATGCCATATATATATATATATATATATATATATATATATATATATATACACCCGAGGGCCTGACGTAATTTTATGTCCACTATGCTTACCACTATATAATACTTACATTAAACTAACATTCGGCACACTTCCATTGTAGAAGCATATCACGTTGTGCTCACCAGCTGGTGTAATAGCTTGTGATGACTCGACGTGGATTCTTTAAATCCGATTCATTCATGAAACATGTGCGGTTCATTAATGCCCAGTGACAATATAGGAAGGCTCGGTACCTGTATCTATACAGCCCAATGCAGTAAGTGACTCTTTACAATGAGACTGGTGGTGGTGGCAGACTGCACCTCACTCTCGCAGGTCTGCACGTTTCAGTATTGCGGTCGGTCGGTTAGGTTGTGGGAGTACAGCATCCGTAAGTGTCATTTGGGAGATGCTGTGGGTGCAATAAGCTTCCCCGGGCGTTGCTGCAGTATACGAGTGAAACATATTGGTGCTCGACGTGCCTCCACTACAGACCTGGTTGTAAGTCATGATTTTAAGGATTGTCTTTCCCTGGCGGTGGTTCCATTGTTCCATTGTAAGTGTGATTACGTTGTGTTTTTGATGTCTCAATATCCTCACTAAGGCGCACCACCATCACCTACTCCAGTCATAGTACACACTTGTGGGGGCTACATGGAGCGGGGGGGGGATTAAGAATGAACAAACAACTTGGGATATCTGCAGCTGCCTTTTTTCACATGACCAACTGCTGTAGCAATTGGTCGACACCCTTTTGCTCTCGCTCGCTCTATCTCTCTCTCGCGCTGTTCTCTCTACCTCGCTCTCTATTAAAGAAAATGGAATGGCAAGAGAGAGCAAGAGGGGGAGGAAAAGACGATGAGTTTTACATCATAGAGGGTGTGAGAGGAAGAGTCAGAAAGAGAGAGAGAGAGAGAGAAGAGGGGTGGCCATAAAAGAGGTAGAAAAAGCAGATGTAGGAAGGCGCAGGATAAGTGCTCTGCAAGCAAACTGCATAATTTAGGGCTGGTGGATACATGGCTGTACCCATAGTCCAGGTTCTTTGGGTTGGTTTTCACGGCTTAGCTCTTAGACCATACGCTTCCAGAGAGGCTGATTCTTATTCAGGTCTATTTCTGTGAATGCAGGAAGGCCCTCGGGTTAGGAGGTTTTATTTAGGTAAGATGCAACCCAAATTATCACCAGCCGACATGGCCTGTGGAACACAGAGGTGCCTGTGTTTTATTAGTCGTTATCAATGTATTTTGGACACTGCTTTATTTTTTATATGTAATTCTCTTTAACACGCACACACACACACACACACACACACACACACACACACACATCAATGTGGTTCCCTTCTTCTGATCTCCGTTACCATGGTCACAGTTGGTAAAGGTGGTTCTGTTCCTCTGCAATGTTCGTCGTGATCCAAATTTGGAAACAGAAACCTAAACTTTGTCTTGTAAGTATTTCGTTTTTCTGGATGTATTTAGCTTTTTTTTTGCATACTTGACTGCTGCACATGTTTATTCTGTTTATTCTCACGTGTCTGAGTGTGTGTGAGTGTGTGTGCGTGTGGACGTGGTTGCCGCGTACTCCTCTGAGATCATCACGGTGTGGGATCGGGAATGGTTTGCAGTTTGGGTTCCCATGGACACATGTTGTCGAACTCTACCGCGGTGATGATGAGAGGGGCTGAACCGCAGAGAGAGGTTTACAATGAAGACCTCCTCATCAACTCTGGATTGGATCGAGTTGAATCTCTCCATCTCACCGAGCACCCACAGTCAGTCCAATGTGTTGGTCCAAGCATTAACAAATGATTACAGACCATGATGTGTGTCAGTGACTCACTCCTTCTAATCATCAGCAGCAGAACGACCGACCTGAGCTGTGGTGATGTACAGGACCATACCTGACCCCACTATGTCAACAAATGCCAGGTCATTAAGACCATCTGCTCATCAAGAGGCTTTTTCCTCAGGGGGTAATTGCTGACGGAGTGTCTGTCGAGTGATCATGTCACTCACCAAACGGTCTCTCATGTAATCAGACGGCTGAACTGACTTTTACCTCATCACTGTCCTGACTCATTTCACGCTGGCAGCCTTCTGGAAACTGTTCACCACGGCATCCATCTATTGACACTGTTACACATGTTACACAGAAGATATTCATAATACTACATTCGTGCATGTGCAGTCTGTTTTTGGAGTGGATATTCTATCAATCCAAGCTTTATTTGGAATAAGGCCAATCAATGAGCGTTTCTCACACAAATCTTCTGTCCCTGGCAGTCTGTCAGTAGCGCCTTGTTCCAGTGCATCACTGATCTCCTCATCATTCTTTGTGGATTGGGGACAGGGGGTTGGGGGACAGGGGTTTGGGCTGTTAGCGGATGGGTGAGGCCATATAAACACAGTGAAAGGGCGACAGCGATTTCTGTCTCATACTTCAATGAGAGCTCTACCGAAACAAAATTGAGAGAATTGTCAGGACTACCCGGCCCCACCTATCTAAAAATGAAAAGATGTCTTTTGCTGTGAGGTGTTTACAATTATTTTACGAGGATCATTTTATTCATGGTAAACATCTGTTTGTCAAAAGAGCCGTGTTTGTTGTGTGGCCCATTGTTTGCAAACAGTATCCGTTTCAAAGACCCAGGAAGATGGAACCTGCTAGTTTTATGGCAGGGCCATAGCGGAGTGTCAGGTAGCCAGTAGCTGACGTGTGCCAGCTCTTCACAGCTAGCAACCAGAAGAACGGATGGGTGCCTGGCACGAGTTTCACAATTATCCCTAAATAGACGACGGAGACAGGAATAAACTCAATCCTGGCCTAAGCCACATACAAACATATGTACGGTATATCCATAGCTGCAGTATAGTTTATGTCTTACCGAGAAGGAACAAAAGAGTGAGGAATTAAACGGGGGAATGCCTAATCTCTGTTCGTTTGGCGTACTTCTGGGTATGGCAAGCATGACTCACCCGAGTGTGAGCTGGGAGAAAATGAGACACGAGGAGCCCACCCTGAAGAAGATTCGGTTGGACGTAGGCTTCATGATTGATGCCCTGGGTAAATCCCCGCATTTCCACGTTGTTAGCCGGGACTGCAACTGAATGTTTGAACTAAACACTTTTTTGCTGTCTGTAGATTTGCAGTTCGGTTCTGCGTTAGTTTCCATCATGGTGAGACACTCCCATACGCGTTTAATGTGTCATATGCCTCTGCAGAGGATGTACATACCAGTAACATATATATGTGTTCGTGTACCGGTCCACTCCGCTCTGGTTGGAGGATCTTTCCTGTTTGTTATCCAACAGAGCTGGATCTGGATACATGCCTCTGCAGAGGAAGTGAGGGTTGGGTGCACAAGCTAAGGAGGTTCCTCCTCAATATTTGAGAAGAGGTGATGTTGCCTTACTGTTCCCCGCAGATGGACACGCGGATGGTCCCCGGTTCCCCTACATAAGTCTTAGAACTGGAGGACCCTAACTGCCCGGCCAAACCATGGCCATAATCCTAACCGACGGGTCAACCAATCAGCCCTAGCTCTCTTCTTATCCATTATTTCTTAGAGCCAAGCTCTCCTTAATCACATCTTTTCCCCCTCCTGTCCCTTTCTCCCGGCGCCAGCGCTGTGTTCTGACACACAATGTCAGACAGCTTGCAGAGACACTACGGTATAAGTTCACACTAAGCCCTTAAAAAAGACAGAACCTGCTCACTTCACTGAGGATCTGTAGACGTAGAACCTCCTACACTTGACTGAGGAGCTGTAGACGTAGAACCTCCTACACTAGACTGAGGAGCTGTAGACGTAGAACCTCCTACACTGGACTGAGGAGCTGTAGACGTAGAACCTCCTACACTGGACTGAGGAGCTGTAGACGTAGAACCTCCTACACTAGACTGAGGAGCTGTAGACGTAGAACCTCCTACACTGGACTGACGAGCTGTAGACGTAGAACCTCCTACACTGGCCTGACGAGCTTTTGGGGTTTGGGAGAAAATAATTCAGCCAGAGTGATGTTATCCTCCTGCAGTAGAGGGATAATCAGTGCAGTGTTTTACAGTGATGTCCATCTGTAGGCCTCAGGCTTCCTTTCTCAGCATCTAAACCCCTCCCCTAATGGAAGGCACACCCACTGACAGAGGGGGAGGCTTCCTATCTTAGCCCTTCCCCTAATGGAAGGCATACCCAGGGATAGAGGGGGAGGCTTCCTATCTAAGCCCCACCCCTAATGGAAGACATACCCACTGACAGAGGGGGACTT